GGTTTAAAATACATACATATAGATTGAATTTATACCAGAATATTACACGTATAATAAAGGGTCATTTTTAAAGAGATATAGGAAAGTTATTCAAAAAAGAAAAAAAAATGCATGAAATCTTTATTTGAATCGACAGAACGGTCCATATAATGTAATGTTTGAAGTAAACGCAAATGTTGACCGTAACTGCGCCGCAAATGGTCCATCCGCTTAGTCCAGTTTTGATATACTTTTTCCAACATTTTTGGCCGGTATCTCACGAATACTGCTTCAGAGTTGACCTCCAATGCGTCAATCGGAGTGGGCTTGTTTGTATAGAAAGCTCTTGCATTTTTGGCAAAAAAAAGTTTGATATCATCTCATGGTAGCGCTCACCTTTCACAGTTACTTTACGATTCGCATCATCTTTGAAGAAGTACGGTCCAATGATGCCACCGACCCGCAAACCGCACCAAACTGTGACTTTTTCAGGACGCATTGGTAGCTCTTGCAAAGCTTTTGGCTTCTGCTTATTTACGCACCCAAAAATGAGCTTCGTTGCTGAATTTTTTTTTTAACTTTCTTCACTTAGCACTTATTTTGATAATAAAATTCAATAATTTGCAAGCGTTATTCGTTTGTAAGACGATTCATGGTTAAATTATATACCAAACTGAAGATGTTTGACAATGATTCAAGCCACGAAACATGCGTCAGCTGTTTAAACCAGTGTTGCCAAAAAGATAAAATATAAAGCTAAAAAATCACTCTTATATACATATATGTATGTATTTGAATTATTGAACTTTCGTAAACATTTGCAAAAATGGATTATGTAGTAAAAATGTAAACACTAACAACCAACATTTAATGAGTGCTAATAGCTGATATTTCTTTTTCAATTTATCCTTAGTTGTGATCATTCTTATGTACCTGCATGCAGAATTTAAAAAAAGAGCGATAAGCTAAATTGCAAAAGCTAAGTAGCTAGCAGGTGGCCAGTAGATATATTGTCTATCCCCGACAAGCATAGTGTACCTCAGCGGTTTTCTCCTCCTGAAATTTAATATAAACATAGTCGAGCAAAAGTTAGTGGAGGGAGTATCACCACAATCTTTACGAAGGAGTAGTAAGCCCATTGTACGAAATAGCAAGTAAAATATTTTCTGCAAAAGGTTTTTACTTTATCTAAAGGAATAATAAGTTTTTTCATCCCGCTACCTTTATGAAGAAGACTTTGGTAGATTTTATATGAATTTTCTGTGTAATAAAAATAAGTTACAACAAAGGAAACAGCGAGTTGTTATTTAAGCCAACCCTGAGTACACTGTGTATAACTCAGCCGAAAAACTTGGTTGCAGTGCTTTAGTATCGCGAATACACGGCTGACTCAGAGCGAGTTCATAACTTTGCAGCTGATGAACGTGAAGGGTATTCGTGATTATAAAATGTGAAGCGTCAGATCGAAAAATAAATACTTATGTTACATATTCATTTAATGTACTGACTTTCTGAATAAGGTACTTATTATCTATATTCTATAACTGGATTGAATACACACAGTTTTATTGTTGCATAATATAATTTGTTGTTGTTGTAGCGGTTCGCTAGCCCCGCTTAGGTACAGGTTTGATTAATCTAAGTCGCCAAGGTCATCTAGTCACCAAGGTCATCATGCTCCGTTGACATCGGGAAGTTTCCTGTCGCAGTCCTGATAGCGGTGTTCTGGCAATACTGTAGCTTCTTCAGCTGTTTACGACAAGTTTACGACCGGCCGAGCAATTGATTTGTTAGTTGCCAGCAAAGTTTCTTTGTCTTTACCCCAGGTGCTGTCGGCTTGCGTTTTGAATATTTTGTTGCCGGTCTAGAGTTTGCGGCAATTGGGGTCGTATGCGAGTGAAGGAGTGCAGGCTGTCTAGTGTCACATCTAGTTCAAGCCTGTATTCCTTCGTCCAGCTGGTGAAATGGGGAGCCGAGAATTTAGTCGGCTGTATTTTCAATTGTAGTGCAGTGAAGAAGTGAGAAAGATCGGCAAGGCAAGGCAGCAGTTCACTTTCGAGCAGAGGTCGTCAATATCCTGGCCAGACGCCCTTATCGTGCAATCAGAGGCATACGAGGTTAGGGAAACTCCTTCTGTAGGAGGGAGTTTCGAAGTGTAAAAATTAAACAGTAGTGGGGAGAAGACACCACCCTGCAGAGCCCCTCGCTTAACTTTTCTGGGTTTCGACGTTTCACCTCGGAATATTACGGATGATTGTTGACCACTCAGGTAGCCCATAATCCACCTCTGCAACCCAGACGGTAATGAGGATTCCTCAATGTCCGTTAGTAGTACTGAATGGTTGACTGTTTCAAAAGCTTTTGACAAATCCAGTGCTACCAGGATTGTTCGCGCGCAGGGTCGGCTTCGGTTAAGGCTATTGGCTATCTGGGTGCTTATGGCGTTTAGTGATGTTGTAGTGCTGTGAACATTTCGGAAGCCATGCTGATGTGCTGCTAGACGCAGATATTGAGTGAAGGTCGAGAGCAGCAAGGCCTCAAGTGTTTTCGCTACTGGGGAAAGGAGAGTTATCGGCCGATAAGACTCTTTTTTGTTGGTTGGTTTCCCCGGTTTGAGTAGCGGGACCACCTAGCCCGTTTTTCACACGTAAGGCATCATTAGGGTGATCAAAGACTAGTGGGGGACCTTTGTGAGAAATTCTGTTCCCGCAGGTCCGAGATATTTTAGCATCAGCATACTTCTTCCGTCGGTGCCGATGGATTTAGAGGCTTTCGCCTTCTTGATGACCCCTTGAACCTCTTCCCTGGAGAAATCAAGAACCGCGCTGGATTTGGCAGTTTGCGCATACGACGGTTTACACGACGACCCTATGGTACAGTAGTGACGTCTGATGGAGGGGGAGAGCACTAAAGGAGTTCTCGGTTAATTCTGTGAAGCCGGACCATTTAGATTTTTTTTTAAAGTTGACAAATGTCCGTTGATCTGTAGAAACAAAGTCGGGAGGCCTGTCAATCAAGTTTTGTATTGGTAAGTGGTCCGAAGCTAGTGTCAGTACAGGTCACAAGACTATACTGTTTATCAGACCTGCACTCGCAATTGTTATATCCGGCGAGCTTTGTCAATTACCTAAAACTTTGGTGGAGGGGTTATCGTCCATTGTGCAGAATGTCGAATCGTCTACCTGTTCTGCCAGCTCCATTCCTCTATGGTCATTTTACAGGGGCGTCGATAGGACGATACTGCACGGTGTTGTGCAGGATGAATGCTAAGTCCCCACCATGATCTCGCTCGCGATCCTTGCGGATAATGTTATGGATAGTCCGCCTCAGAAGATTTGAGCGGGCGGTCAACCTCATTTCCTGGATCGCATTAATTGACATGTGCTTGAAGTCATGCTACGGGGAGCAGCGTGAGACCGTAAAGGTATGTTGGTTACCCAAAGTGGGAATGGTGCTGAAGGCACTGCCGTGGAGGCTGGGGGCGCTTGGGTGATGGCAGCATGGTTGCACCTAACCGAGGTGGAGTAGTGGTGGAGTCTTTTCTGGCACACGCAGCAGAAGTAATTCGTCGGACCAGGGTTGGTTTCGACTCCAGGCCTGATAAGAAGGATTTGGAGGAATCCATCTGCGAAGTGTTGCTCCGGTTTAAAGAGGCTATAAAAAGCTTTGCAAGAAAAACGAGAGTAACGCTTTCCATTTCATTAAGCATTTTCGGTGATATATGATCACATCCAGTATATTCAGTATTTACTGGCGGCTCAAAGCTAGCTTTCCAATTGGATGTTTTAATAGATGAGATGGAAGATAAAGGGGATAAAAGATTTTTTATAGTTTTTCTTCGTTGTATCCTAATGCCACTTTGGATTTCTTTTCTGCCATCTTAAGTCGGACTTTTCATCGGAACTAATAAATCGATTTCGCTGTTAGTTATAATGTTTCCGCGTTCAGCTGCATTTTACGCCTCGGTGTAGCAATAATAGCTTCTGTCTTCTTACTATTAAGCACGAGTATCCCGGTATCAATGTCATGTTTATTCTCTATTTCGGGACAGGTCTTTACGTAATTGCTTTTGCATTTTTTATTTATTACACAGTTAGAGGTCATACGATGAATAGGATACTAATTCAAGTAATTTTCTTGGGTTCACTACACGGCCGGGATGGGATGTATACCGAGAGCTGAAGAAGAGGCCAAATTGCGTGAGTATGAAGACTTTGAAAAGCTGGCTGACAAGATTAGTGCTCGAAAAAATTATAGAGATTTACAGAAGATTTCAAGATCGGAGCATTCTTCTGTAGGACCCAAAGATAACAGTTTAAAAGCCAAGGTTATTGAACTGATTCGGCCTTATCAGTAAAGCTTCAGACCTTACAAATCTACAATTGATCCGATATTCATTGCACACTAAGTTTTGAAAAAGATTCGTAAGAGATCTGCACTTTCGTCTCTATGTCTGGAATTAATACTAGCTGCAGAGCTAAAAAGGGATGACACGATTCTGCGTGCCCCCGTTTCTTGCCTGCATTTTTTACAACTCTCCATCTCCAAAATAAACATTACATCTCTCCTCTTAGAAGGAAAATCATTATTTTTAGCAAGAAAAGGAATACTTCAAACAGATTTTCGATTACAAATTGGATTAATAGTTAACAAGTTGTAATGTGGTTAGGGTACAACACTCGAGCACCAAAAGTATGTAAAAGAAACAATCCTTATATAAAATAAAATAAAATATTTCGGAAATATCCCGGTATCTTCCATTCCATACAATTTATTTGAAATGCTTAGTACAAGTTGTGAAGAAGATTATAATCAGAAGACGACTAATACCTAGTAACAGGAATAATACTTTTAGTAGTTTTCCCAGGTTTATTTTAGATTAACATTTAAGCTGGTAATATTTTATACATAACTAAAAATGGCAAACAATCTATCCTTTCTGTTAATTTTGAAATTACAGAGGTTCTGTTATTAGTGCTTAGGTTTTTGAAATATGTATTATTAAGAGTTATAGGACTTACATTGCCTCCCAATGGTGCTGTACAATCCTCGATATTAAGTGTTCTCCTCTTTTTTCCAGTCCCGTTAGTAAAAACGCTTTGTGAATAGAAGGAAAATGAGCCAAGTCAGCGCCGTTTTCTGGTATCTCTAAAAAAAAGATGACATGTCTCATTTTCTTAATAAATATTAGCGGAAAGTCAAAATTTTAAATATCTTATCATAAAATCTCAAAAGGTACGTTTGTGCGAGTATACAACAGCTTTATGAGCAGCAACTTTATTTTGAATGAAATTTTTTATTTAAGAGCTTTCAGAATAATAACAATTTTTTATAAGCATCTAAAAATAAGCAACGCTAGCAGCACAAGCTTTCAGCTGACTGGTTAAGAATTGTATCCTTAGATGTTGTTAGTGGAAAGATTCGTAAATGTACTAGCTGGATCATCGTTACCAAAATATAAATCTATGAATAATAATATAAAGACAGAAAGCTTTAATGTAAATTCCTTTATCAGAGAAGATATGAATCTGACACAATATCTTTTTAAACCGTCATTAGCGTACACAGGTAGTATGATTTGCCTCAAGCTTGATGCTTTATTATAATCTTCAAGCTGCTAGATGGGGGAAGCATCTTTAGTAGCGGGTTGTGCCATAAGTTTAGACGGAGATTTCTTTGGCAATATCTTAACACGTGGCAGTTACGGCTTCTCATAAAAACCGTCAGTTTTTCGGGGGCAGCTAAGTATAAACTGCAAGTCCATCCATTAGCTGGAGAAACATCAAGACGTAAAACTACAAATCGGAGGAGAAGCTCGGCCGAAAATCATTTCAGCGTTACCAAGCTCCAATTGTATATGGTCACTTCTACAGACATGTCCACCGAGTAAAAAAAATTGTTTGCTAGTTCTCGTGGAAAGGGAGCCGTTGATAGATTTAAAAATAGATTTTAATTTGTTTTTTTGTTTTCCTTTACTGAAAATTTTTCGTTAAGTTTGCAATTTTAATTGTGAAAATTAATATATTGAAAATATTAAGCATTATTTACAATTATCTTCTTCTTCTTTATTGGCGTGGGCACCACTTACTCGATTATAGCGGAATCAATATTAGCGCTCCATTTATATGTTCTTTACGCTGTTTGGAGCCAGTTGGAAAAATCAAGTGAGGCCAGGTCGCTCTCCACCTGATCATTCCAACGCAGTAAAGGTCTTCCTCTTCCTCTGCATCCACCAGCGGGGACTACATAGAGTACTTTCAACGCTGGAGTGCTTGTATCTCGCACCAAGAGCCCAGTGACACAGGCGGGTTAAAGTTATACCCGGCAGCATGGGAATAGTGCGAGTGGATTCGTAACCAGTTCCGTTGGACCACAGCTCGAGTGAATCTCAAGAACATATTTTGTGTATTTTTATATATACATATAGTTTTGCTCTGCTGTCCAATTTTTGTTGCCTTGATTCGATCTCCTCACTACTATCCAATTCCCAACAAGGAAAATCAACAGTTACAAATTTTCTTGAATTTGTGTCTCTAGATCTTTAAGAGATAATAAGCTAACTGACGTTATCTACACCGACGTCAGTAAAGCGTTCGATAGGGTTAATCACTCAATTCTTATCCAGAAACTAGATCATCTGGGCTTTCAACCAAGATTTCTTCATAAGGTTTCCTCGTATCTCTGCAATAGAATATAAAGTATAACATTTAAAGACACTTCATCACAATTAATTAATGTCTTATCAGGAGTTCCTCAAGGTAGTTACATCGGCTCGATTCTGTTTCTATTATTCGTAAATGATATATCTTCGGTAATAAAGCATGCAAATATCTTATATAAGCGTTAGTAAAATGAACTTAGTTTTGTTTTTTCTTCCTTGGCAAATAGTGTTGTTATTGTACGAAGCTAGCGACCCACGCCGTTTTCACTTAGCTGGCCGGCCGCTTTGTTAGTTTTTCTCATCTCCGCACATACATATTGTAATAGATAAAAGTGGAGGTGACTAGATTAGAGCAGGCGAGTGAGAAGCTTGCGAGGCAGTACAATCTCAGTCGTAGAGATGTACAGTTTGGAGGATGAATTTTTCGAGTTGAATTTTTTGTGTTTGAAAATTAATTAATTGATGGCTGTACAAAAATGTCTGTAGAATAGATATCTGCCAACTAAATGAGTCCGAAATATAATTTTTATTTTTCTTGAAAAGCCCGCTCTCATCTCACTGTCATGTAAAATTTTTGTCCCCTACCTCCTTAAATTTTTAAAAAGGAAAATGTCACTGGGAGTCAGGTCCGGAAATTTGCTGCTTGTCGATCAGCGTGAGCATTCGCGGTACCCAACGCGCACTACTGTTTTCCTATTTAAATTTTCACTGCAAAAAGCTTTCCAGCTCGTTCTTTATTAATCTGTATTAGTTCCACTGTCTGAAACAATTAAATTGTATGATCTGCCAGTATTCATTTTTCGAGTTTCTAAATATTTTCTTTGATCAAAACCCTCAAGTCCTGAAGGAGACATCTCTTCAAAAATTTCAATCGGAGTATTTCCTTTTTTTTTACAAAGAATTTAATCATTCGCATTGCTCCAAATTGCAAGAATTTCCAGTTACCATGAACTTAGAGTTGTCGCTTGTTCTAAGAACAAAATGTTAATGAACCTAATAAAAAAAAGTTGTCTTATTTATACTAGTAATGAGATGATTCTCCATCTCTAACTACCTTAGATCGCCAAAAAAAATTCAGCTACCCCTCGTATTTAAAGTGCCAAACTTCACTCGCTTCACGCTCTTACATGCCTTTTGGACGATTTTAGTACCCACAATCTAAAACTCAGGAAAATTGGTTATACGCGCATATTTTTTAATGGTCCCATCTGACAGGTTCTAACAAATTATGTGATAAGGGACCAGTTGCGTTAAAACAAGCCGAAAAAAATAAAAAAATATACTTTTGTCACCTCCACTTCTTTCCATTAACAAGAGTATATGCATACATACATATGTATACCTACAGTGGCTGTTGGGCAAGCGCCTACCAACAACCGCACACGTAAACAAAAAACATATCGCACGAAAAGGAGATGACAAGAAAACTAACAAATGCGACCGATCAGAAGCTTTAGGTAGGAATATTTATAGTAGACTTCCATCGGAAATGGCTTAACGCTAAAAGTAAAACTTGTTTTTGAACCGACTCCAATTTATCGGAATGAACCTGATATTTTGGGGTTCCATATCAGTGAACCATATTCTAATAATGGCCTCACCAAAGTCGTATAAAGTGCTTTGGTTATAAAACGGGCTTTGACTTCTTTTGACCATCTTTTGACAAAGGCAGTGGTGTGGATATGAGGATGAAAGTTGATCATAACCCCCAAATCAACAAAGTTGAAGACTTGCTCTAGACTACAGTTTAATTATATAAGGGGAAGGTTGAACAAGTTTTCGTGAAAAGCACATGGTCTACCCTTCTTGAGGTTCGAAGGCATATCTACATCGTTTTATAACAAATGTCTTTCGTCGAATGAGGTATATGGCATACAAAGTTTTACATCATCGGCATATAGCAAAGATATTTGCATGCTTTATTACCGAAGATATATCATTTACGAATAATAGAAACAGAATCGGGCCGATGTAACTACCTTGAGGAACTCCTGATGAGACATTAATTAATGATGAAGTGTCTTTAAATGTTATACGTTGTATTCTATGTTATACGTTGTATCTATAGGAGGAAACCTATTGAAGAAATCTTGGTTGAAAGCCCAGATGATCTAGTTTTTGGATAAGAATGGAGTGATTAACCCTACCGAACGTTTTATTGAAGTCGGTGTAGATAACGTCAGTTAGCTTATTATTTCTTAAAGATCTAGAGATATGTGACACAAATTCAAGAAAATTTGTAACTGTTGATTTTCCTTGTTGGGAATTGGATAGTAGTGAGGAGATCGAATCTGATTAGTAATGATTACCTGAAAAAGCTTTGGTATAGTGGATATTTTTGCAATACCTCTATAGTACTCAATATTAGACCTATAACCACTTTTATGTAAGGGTGCCATAAAAACACCTTTTTCGAGGAAGGAATTAAAAAGTTGTATACAGATTTTTTGCACAACTTCTCAGAAAGTATGTAAGAATCATATCTGGACCATAACTGGAAGAATGTTTTAGATTCAACAAATGAAATAATACATCTTCCTCCGAAGTAGTTGGTGAGTTAATTATTGTTGTTGAACGTAAGTAATGCTGACAGACGGACAAGCCACGTCCAGAGTTAGTTGAATAATTTGATTGAAAAAATTGCGCAAACATATTGGAAATGCTTAGACTGTCACATGAAATAGTAGATTTATATTTCATGGCGGACGGAAAGGTAGAAAGCTTACGGTTGGAGTTTACAAAATCGTAGAACAGCTTAGGATTGGGCAAAATATTTTTCTTAACTTTAGATATGTAATTATTTTTTGTTATGATCAAGGCATTTTCGATAATCCAGTATTCTTGAAAGTCATAAAAGCTTTTGACCTCCTATTCTTTAAATATCATAACTCCTTTGTACACCACTAGCTCATGTGTTTTATTTTAAGCCCAGTCTTTATAAGTACACATTTTACAAAAAGAGAAATAATGGTACTATTAAAATGTAGGACACTTGCCATATTATCGGTATAACTTGACCAAAATTGAATCGGAAACTCGGCTAAATTTACTTCCGATTTCGAATGTTATCTCTAAAGCAGGTTGATTCACATCCTCTAGCAGAACAAGAAGATCGCTTCAAATAACCGAAAATTTAGAAGCATTTTCCACAACTTTAAAATTTTACCAAAAAGGTTAGGAACAAAACTAATCTAATTGAGGCACAAGTCGGACAGTTCACCAAAAACAATCATGGAACCGTATTGTTTTACCAACGAAATAACATTTTTAAATCGATCGAGGAGGTAAATAAGGTAGCGCTATATGTATATGCAGCCTTGGTCAAAAGTATTAGGCACCTCACTAAACTACAAATATTCTCAAATGTGGCTATTCTTTTTGTAAAGGCCTTACTGTTGATTAAACGCATAAATGGTGTTGTCCTAGCACACTGGGTAAGCTAAACCTAAAAATTGAATTGAAAATTGAAAGTGAAAGTGTAAATTACATTTAGTGAAAAGTTACCAATCTTATAAAAACAGTTCGTATTTACCGAAATGCATAAAAAAGTGAAATTATTTACGATGATAGAGTTAGAATTCGAATTCTAAGTGAAGAAGGTAAGTCTCAGGTTGAGATTGCCAATTTGGTGGGATGCTCGCGGTGGGCGGTCCAATGTGCCATAAGGCGTTTTGTGGAAACGAAATGGAAGTCTAACGAGTAAACGAGAAGACCGAATACGTATACGCGAGTCTCTCAAGGATCGCAAAAGATCTTCTTCTGCCCTTGCAGCTGCCCTTTCGAATTAATTTAGTAAACCAGTTAGTGTTCGAACAGCTAGAAGAGTCTTCTGGAAGCAGGTTTAAAAAGATGTAAAGCCCGAAAGAAGCCGTGGCTCTCAGAAAAGAATAAAAAAAATCGTTTAGATTGGGCTCGCCGATACCAACATTTCACGGAAGAAGATTGGTCGAATGTTCTGTGGTCTGATGAATCATACTTCGAGGTGAGCTTAGTTAAGATCGTCTTAAAGTATTAAAAGCCACATGTTCTTACCCTAGAACAATTTTGAAGACATAATACAAATCTTATGAAATCATTATTTTTTTTCTACAGAAATTTGGAACACCTGATGTGACGTTCTTGAGGCGACTGATTGGGAAGAATATCATCCAGATCGCGTTGTGCATGGAGGAAGCAGCGTTATGATCTGGGCATGCATGACTGCTGATGGTGTCGGCGAAAAGTTCATTTACGAGAAGCTGTTCTTCTGCCTTCGTTAATGCGCATTTTCGGCGATACTAATTTAGACGGGGTTTAATTTTAGCAAGACAAGACAGCAATGCTCCTTATCACAAGTCAGAGACTACGATGCGTTGGTTTAGAGATAACTACATTGTTTTGTTAGATTGGCCTGCACAGTCTTAATCCCAATAGAGCAAGCAAGACGCCTTAAAGAATGTCTTAATTAACGAGTGGTACGCTATAAGTGCGGACGAATGGGCGAAGCTTCTACGCAGCATGCCTAAGAGTATTACTGCCGTTATTAAATCGAAGAGTGGACCTACTAAATAATAATATATATAAAACTTCATTACTTCACTTGCTAAAACGATAAATTCAGTAATTAGGAGGAGCCTAATACTTTTGGCCAAGGCTGTATATACTCGTAGCTACAAGCGGAATGCACTCGTATGCATTTAAATTCCATGGCATATAAACCAGGAACAATAACTTCTTCAGAAGGAATTGAAGGATGAGCGGCGAGTAGAACCCCACCTCCGATTCGATTTAATCGATCAGTTCTATAAATTTGATACTCACAATTTAAAATTTCATTGTAAAAAACGTGAGTTTTAAGCCAAGTCTCGGGATATGATATAATGTGAAAATTACAATGTAGACTGTTTAGATACAAGTCAGTTCGAATAACAAGCTAATACCTCTAACATTTTGATAGAATAAACTTTGACATTTTGATTTTAATAGAAACATCTTTGTTTAGTTTTTTGACTTTCCGTTTTTGTGAGAAATTTAGCAATATTTTCTCTATGTCGTGATTTGGTCATGCAAGCATTCAAATTAAGACAAGTCAAGAATAGCAGCACAACCAGTTCATATTGTTTTATGCTTATCCCTGAAGGTTTCACGAATGTAACCGATTTGATTTTGCTTTTTTCGAAGATAAGCGAATATTGTTTTCGGATCGGCCTTAAACAACACTTGTGCAAAAAACCCAACAAATCAATTTAATTTTAACACTGGTTTTGTGATTATTGATTAAAAATAAAACGACAGGATGATAAAAGGACTTGGAGATACGAGCGCAAAATTTTAAGGATTAATAGCAATTCGTTCTTGCTGTCAAAGTCGATGTTAGAGCAATTTTATGGTACAACATCGAATTAACAAAGAAGTATTTGTAATACTTTTTGAAGTCGGTGAAGATAAGTAAGATAGACTTTCCATCCCACCTGACTCGCATCTTGCAGCGACACTGCGGTTTTCGGCAGAAGACTCCTGTCAACGGTCTGCGGGTAATGACGCGACCTACAGTCTCGGTGGTTATAACAGAAGTGCTGAAGGCTTTTGAACTGTTTATTTGCACACGCTGAAAAAATTGATGACAGCGAAAAACGAAGAGCTAGTGACTATTTTTACACAAAGTACCGTATTTCTGGAATCGCTAGTTGTAAAACCCATTGCTCATGACTTAATTTTTATTAAATTTCCGCTTGCAAAGAAGTTAGCTCACATTTCTGATTCTGACAACAATCTGTTTCTGTAGCAGGCCTGAATTTTCGTTTATTTGTTTTACGGAGGATTCCTTGCTCAAAATCTTTGATCTCTTGCATGAATCTAATCTTGCAATAAATTAAAAGAAAGATTAAATAAACTACACCTTACGGTGAGATAATCTCTTATTTTATGTGGGACGAAACTTAGAAGTATGCGATATCTCTTAGGGAAAAAATTATCCTAATCTATTTACATTATCTTCCCCTATTTCCTACCCTTGAGGTCAAATTTTATTCCCAAAAAATTACAATGGAACAAATTTAAAGAAATGTATAAGTTAACTGGAATAAAGTTCGGTCCAATAATGTTTGCTACTACAAAACTTAAACACGTGTTCAACAACTCTCACATTTCGAAATTTGATGCAAAATCCGTCAGAGCATGTATGAAAAAGAGTGGATAAAATGTGGAAAACGATTTTATGGATGATTCAGCTCTATTCATTTCGCCAGTATTCATTGCTGATTTCTGGATGTTATCCAGCAACTTGAAATTGTTACGCTTTTAAAAAATACAAATGGATAGTCTCTTATTTATTTACATAAAGAAATACTTGCAATAATGTTTTTTTTTCGTCAGAGTTTTCTCTTTGTCCTTACCTTGGATATGACAATTAATGTAGAATTCATTTCTACCATGAAATACTAACTCTTTGTTGTCAACAGCACTTATAAAAGGCAGTTCCCAGTGGTTTTTTTCATTTTCGGAATGATACCAAATGAATATGCCATCATTTATTTCCCGGCATATCCATTTCCGTACTTTAATACCCTTGGGCTCTGAAAAAGAAACAAAAATAGTATTTTTAAGTGCTCAAATAGGTTTAACATGTAATTTCAAATTCAATTAATTTAACACATTAACAGGGATATTCTCACTGTTACCGGTAAAGTAAATTTCGCTACGTTTTTTAACACTCGGAGTTAAATTTGGTATTCTAGCGCACAGGTTACACTGTTTGACTAAACTTTGGCAGTACTCTTTTTTTTCGACCATGTCAAATTACATTTTCAAATTGGTAAGAATATTCACCTCGAAATGGAAGACGGAGCGTAAAAAATAAATAGGCTTTATTTAATTGTTTATTAAGACATAAATAATGAAACAAATTATGGAAAATATCCCAGAATGAAAAAAGAAAAGCTGAATGAAAACGGTATCCTCCAAACTATAAGGGTAATATTTTTCTCGCAAAACTTCTTAACAAGCACCTATTTGCACTTTTTTTCTATCATTTTCAATGAATTCTAGACTTAAAACATATAATAATTGTTTGTTCACAGGTAATACAATTTACAGGGTGACAGTGAACCCAGAATACGAATTAGAAACAAAGTTTACCAAATGGTAAATTTTCATACCAAAGCAAATTCTTTACCTCCACGTAATTGGCCTTCAAATAATCCTTTTGACTAACATTCCAGCTTCCGACTCTGCGAATGATAGTTATGAAGGCATCAATGATGTAGAATTGTATAATAAAGGGTTTTCCAATAGGGATGATATGAGTTATAAGTGTCGTTTTGGCCATTTTTAATATGTCATGACCAGTCATTTTTTTCCATTGTATTCAGTAATGAGTAGAATTCCATAATGTCAAGATATGTACAAGAATAACGTTAACAAATAACAACATCATCAACTTAAAAGCGGTAAAGATTTCTTTAACAAAATCATCCCCCTTGAGGCTTATTTTCATCTGAGATGTGCATTAGATTCACCCAAATTGACAATTTGGTGTGGTTTTTGATCTGGTGGAATCATCGGTCAGTACTTTTTAATGAACTTATTGATCTTTACCAATAAACCAAACTATCTTCATGCTTTAAAAGTCAATATTGGACGTGATGTGCATGACTTGATTTTGTATAAAAAAGTTCTTGAAAATCGGGTTCATCCGTTCCTGTAAAGAAGTCGTGGAGGCCATTTGAATGATGTTATAATCAGAACTTAATTGTATTGATTGTACTGCACATTCTCCTTAATAATTAGTGTGTGTTTATTCTATTAAGAAATAATATCGCTCTTAATGGAAAACCCTAAATAATCGCTGTCTTAATAACTTTTCTGTAACGCATACTTATCTTTAAAATGAGTAATAAAGTATTCGTTTTATTCTCGACTTTTTAATCAACTTAAAAAATTTGGTAATTGGAAAATATTTTTTTGACATTATGGTAAATGCAGCTAGTGATTAGGGTAGAGCTTGTTAATGGGTCGGTTTATTGAGATTGAAAACAGAGTAGAGCAGAGTAAGTTAAAGTAGAAGCTGTCAAAAAACTGAAGAGTAAGTTAGAGCAACTCGGAGCAGAAGTCTCATGAAACACTTTCTAGGTAGAAATTCTCAAAAAAGTTGAATGTTTGAATTTTCATTTGACAAATATCAAATGTTTTAGATATATGGAATTGCGTAAATATATTTTTGCAAAATATAAAATGGATAAATATATTATCACCGAAATCATGAAAGAATATATAGATTCTTCAGACTCGGATAATTCGCAATAAACAACAACTGTGTACGGAGCTTCGGGTCCACTTCCGTTTTCCTGTTGTATTATTTTCATTTTTATTTACTCCACGTATCTTTCAGTTAATTTGATAGTTAATTTTTTTAATAAAAATTTGGCAGACAGACCTGTCAAAACAATTATTTTGCTTGCTCTATGTTACTCTACAAAAAAAGAAAGAGCAGAAAATTATGCTCTAAGTTGCTCTATTTCTGCTTAGAGCAGATTCATGAAACAAAGAGTAGAGCAAGTAAGAGCAAGAAAAGTGTCATGAAACAAAATTGTGTGAGATAGAGTAACCTAGCGTAACCTAGAGCAGCTTAATAAACAGACCTAATAACAAGTTAGCTGAGTTTGGAAAGTATATTAAATAAATTCGAATTGTCACTGACAACGGAATTAAATAAAATACTTTCATTATATAATATATATAATTGGCGTTTTGTAACCGCTGCACAGAGGTTTAAAATGCCAATTTAGCTGGAATCAAATAATATATTCATTTTGAGAGGAGGTAGAACATTACAATTTGTAGGGAATAAATCTATTGTAGTGGAAGTACTTCACTCGAAAATGTGCGTGGCAATACTCGTGCAATCGATCTTTCCGCTTCTATTTAAAATATATTGAAGTATACAAAGTGTGTTAAAAATAACCAAATTCATTGAAAACTGATCACAATACAGTAAAAATTAAAAGTATTTATGCATCTATCGTTATTCTGAATCCGCCATGATGACTTCGTTTTGTGATGTAAATGCTCATTAATATCATTGAGAAAAACCGAATTAAAAAATTTGATCATAGCAGCAAATAATGAAAAAATATTTCTCCCGAGACATTTTTCTAACGTGGTGCTCACAGGCATACATGAAATCTGTATTTAGGGACCCAAGAGCTTTCTCAGACATCACTCATATAGGAAGTGCGACACTTTTAATAATGCCTGCATTGTAAATCATGTGGACGCTAGATTGCATATATGTAATACCACGAATGTTACAAATAACTTTTCTGGGTCAAGCGTAAATACTGCTAAAGCTTCCGCATTAATTGTTATTAAATTTTTTGTATAAGATTCTCATAAACACCGGTTACCGCAGAAGCCAAGCGTTGCTGCGGAAAAAAAACGACCTGGGTCTCCAATCTTGCTTAAACATAGAATGTCCACTGTTACTACCAAATCCCCATTTATGTATAAGTGTCAGCGCAGTACAGTTCATCTATGCTAACTTTTCACATTGTAGTTGTATATTCGGACTTGCAGTATGATTCATACAGTCTTAAAAATTAACTTCTGCGTGTATGTATCAAATGTTTGCTTATTCCACGGTAATTGGAACAGAACTTGGGTTCTCTCTTTAAGGGTTGGACTCCAATCATGCTTTTAGTAATGCACTTTCATTCCTATTTAACAAACTGGAGAAGAGTTCCATCCGTAGAGTCCATAGACTTTTTAAGAATTACCCCATCCATCCAGCTTCTTAAGCTGTTCATACTCACGCTTTTCGGCCTACCTTTTTGGCTACAAGCACGCCAATAAAACAAGTAAAGTGCAGCAAGCGCGAAACTTACAAAATTAACCTTCCGCGGCTAGGTCAATTGCAAAAAGGTCAATCGCATACCAAAACAGCAGGGAGTCGTGAGTCGACTTCTGTAGCGTAATGTAGCATTTTTCCAACATGTGAGGGTCTACTCCCTGCTCTAGGTATCAGGAGCAGGGGAGTAGTTACTCCTCCCTCCCTTCCTCTCCTACTTTAGTAACGGTTTGTCATTTTGAGATGGTGAGGTACTACTCTCCTTCTGAGAAAGTCAAGGGGAGGTGCTACTTCCTCCTTTACCTGGTCTTTCCAACGGAGTGGAGGTCTTCCTCTTCATCTGCTTCCACCGGCGGGTACTGCATCAAAAACTTTCAAAGCTGAAGTATTCGCATCTATCCAGACCTCATGCCCTAGGCAGCGTAGCCGCTGCTTCTACGAAATGTCCTATGAACCAATATTTTTAATATGAAAAATGCTTTCTAACTATCTCACTCTAACTTGAATATATTACGGTAAAGTACACACTAAATTAGATCCGGCTATGAATGGTCTTTAAATATGTCCAATTGACTCAGTGAGTGAGTCTATACTAAGTCGAATAACAATCATTCATATTCGGTGGTGAATAAATAGAGTGTAACATTATTCAGAACTACATCATTATAGCCGATTTACAACAATGCGCCATTCGTATCTGCTTTTTGCTGTGTGGCGCTAATTGGCTCTCGGAGAGATCTTTCCCGATCCTGACGGAGTTTTTAGTGTTGATCAAGGTCAGTTGCAAGTTTAAGTTTTGCGGGGATACTAAATTTAGACCTAGCGGCATAAAGGCTGTTCCTATTGTGCTGTCTTACGCATGGTGAATATCTGGTCAATCGTTGACTTACAGGTCTAAAGCCACACTGATGAGGTCCAGTCTAGTTTGTTGACGGAGGCCTTTAGTCTTTCACACTATATGCTTGATAGCACCTTATATGCGATATTAAGGAGGCTTATCCCACATTATCTTTGATGAATTGGGCAGAGCGCACTAAAATTCCAATGATCGGACAAGCTCTCGTTCTACCATATTTTGCAAAGTAGCTCATGCATGCACATTGTCAGCGCTTCACCGCCACTTTTGAATAGTTCTGCTCGTAGGCCGTCATCTCGCGCTGCTTTGTTGTTTTTTGAGCGGGAGGGTGCTATTTGAACTTCTTCGTGGCTAGGTAATGGAACGTCTTTTCCATCGTCATCGATTGGGGTTTCGCTTTCACCATCTCCGGATGTACCATTTTCACTGCCATTCAGCAGGCTGGAAAATTTTTCCCTCCATAAGTTCAATGTACTCTAGGCATCGATGGCTAGATCACCTCTCTGGGTCCTACAAGAGTCTTCTCCGGTCGTGAAACCTACCGTAAGTCGTCGCATCTTCTCAAAGAATTTTCGAGCATTTCCCTTGTCGGCCAGCTTCTCTTTCTTTTTTTTTTTGCAGATGCGCACGTGTTGTGGTCGATAGCAACGTTGCGGCGTAAGCAGTCTATTGCCTCTCCACTGCGACAAAGCAGTCCTTATCGCACCAGCAGTTTTTGCAACTTTTACGAGATTAGTTTCGCTTGCAGCTGTATGTAGGGAGTTTGAAATGGCGTCCCACAGTTCCCGTATACTGAGCTGCTGATGAGTGCTCCCTCAGAGTAGGAGTGCAATTGAGTAGAAAATGGTTCGGCAGTCTGCTGTGATTGCAGCTTT